GTGTGGTTGGGGTGGGGCATGAAGGCAGTGAGCTAGAGAGAGCATCCTGCCTGTCTCCTACTGCCCCAGGCCCCGCAGTGGGGCATTCGCCCCGGAGGGAGAAAGGCCACCTTTGTCTTGTTTGGAGGCCAGCTAATGTCCCCTGCACTGTGCTGCTGCAGAAGCTGACAGCCCTTTGATTTATCGCTCCCTGACATGCGCCCCACCGCTGACTAGGCCGCACCAAAATAGACCCGGAGTGCATCAGGAGGTGCTCCCCTGCATACATATGCCCCCGCAAGGCAGAATCTGTGCCGGACAAAGCAGAAACCATTTGCCAGCAAAGAGGATTGTTGAGAAACTGAACAGGTTGGGTCAAGTCCACGTACCGAGGCTCGGGGCCCGGGCAAGCTGCCAGCTTAAGCGTCTGACTTACCACACTGTCCAGATCCCCTCAGGAGTGCCGTGACGAATAACCACGGGGAAGATCAATTTTGAGTCTCTCTGAGAAAAGAACCAGTTAGAGTGTCCATATTATGCCAAAATATGGACTTGACCCTCCCGTGGTAACCTAAGTAGGGAAAAGTTAAAAAAAAAAAAAAAAAGCCTGGTTACTGAGCGGGCTGGGCTCATTCCTGAAGCCTGCCCAGCTTTGCACTTCGCGGTCCTGGGAAATGATACTTGCCTCCTCCGGCCAGCTTGCCCCTGGAAGATTGAAACCCGCCCACCTTCCTCCCTTTGTTGCTCCTGGCTGTGTCTTCGTCCTAAACAGAGACAACCCCACACAACACCCCGGAACTGGCTCCAGAAGAGGCCAATGTGTAGGTGGTGGTCTGTGCTGAAAGAGTGAAGGAAGAAGAGGGGTCACTTTTCCAGACACCCCCTTCCTGAGCTGCATTTCTTTGTCCCAAGGGAGAAAGAGCTTTGGGGGTGGAGTATGGAGATATAGGTGGGAGAAGCCACTGTGGAGCAAATGGGGTCCCTGCCTGAATGTCGCTCCAGGGGCGAGAGGGAGTGGATTTCCCCTGGGGGCGGGGGCTGAGCTGTCCGTCTGTGACACCCCAAAGTGGGTCACGGCGCTGTGCTGACAGATTTCCCTGTCAGCAAGGACGCTGGTTTGGAGCCCAGCCCAGCAAGGGACGTTCGCAGACGCTGGTCACCCCAGCCTGTGGGTGGTAGACAGGGCAGGCGGCCACTAAGGCTCAGACACCGTCTCCCGGTGCCGCTCGAGAACATGTATCTGTCGAAAAGGCATTTGAGTGAGAAACTGTTTTTCTTGAAAAAAATGAGAAACTCATTTTTCTTAAAGCATCTGTCTTGGCTTCAGTTTCCTCCCGCCGGCAGAGTTCCGGATCCGAAATCTCGCAGAAGCCGCCCACTGCGAGTCTGTTGGCCACTGCTGGCCACTCAGCGGTGCCCAGAGCACCACTCCTCAGTGAGGAACAGATTCGACTGGGTGCAGTGGATGGTCAGGGCCATCCCCACACCTGTCCTGGGCACCTTGGCCCCAGCTGCTGGGATGCTGGGTGCTAATGGCTCCCAGGGCCCCTGCGTGTAGGGAATCACCTGTGGCAGCAGGGCAGCCCCTTGTCAGCCCACCCCAGCTGCTCACAGCCACAGCCTCCCCCTGCACCCCGCCTACCCCCCCCCAGGGAGCGCAGACAACACTCTGGCCTCCAGGTGGGTCAAGGCTGCTATAGGCTCTGAGCCCTGTGGGGTCAGCTGAAGTCGGGGCTCTGGCCAGGGAGCTTCTTCACTGCTCTATCCTGGGTTCCGGGGATGCTCCCCCAGTCACCCTGGGCACCTGCAGCCCCACGGCAGGTTCTGTGTCCAGCACACGTGACCTGAGACACCTAATCTGCGTCAGTCTCCTTGATGGACCTGGACAAAACTCAGCCCCGATCTTTCCAGGAAGGCTGTTGTATGTAAGTCACAGTGTAGGTCACAGTGACATCTAGGGCATCTTGGCACTTGGGGGACTGTGAGACAGGCTGCTGTGCCCTTTACATGGGGGATAAGTCAGTGTTTCATTAGTCAGCTTCTCCATGGGTAATGGCCCCCCAGGAATGCAGCCTCAGTGTGCCCGGGTTGGTTGTCCCAAAGGACAGTGGTAGTGGAATATTAGCAAGTGGTGAAAAAGCATGGAGGGACCATGCATTGGGATCCCCAAGTGAAAGGTGACCCCCTGTGTGACCCAGCCCTAGGACATCATGAAGAGGCAACGCCCAGACACCAAAAAGGACAGTGGTGCCAGTGGCTGGGGGCAGGACAGATGAAGAGCGAGAGTGGACTTGAACGGCAGTGGAAGTATTCTGAGGACACGCCAGAATATGGGCACAGTCACTGAGCATTTGCTTAAACTCAGCAGGTCGACCCCTAACGGGGACCCTCATGTCACACATGCCCTGGACAATAACGCGACCACGTAGTTTCCCTCATTGTAACAGCGGTGCTCTCTGGTGGGTCCTGTTGGTTGTTGGGGACGCTTTCCTGGGTCCAGGAGGGGCAAGTAGGAGTTAAATGGGGACTTCTGAATTTCTGCTCAGCTTTCCAGTGAACCTAAAATTGCATTGACATAGAAAGATAACTTTAAAACATACAGTTGTTATCCTCTGGCTCTAAAATTTTATGACTCTATTACTTAAAGAAACATGCTGGTGCCTTGATCTTTAAAATCTGTTTTAAAGCCTCATTTGACTTGTGACTCAAAACCAAATGTTTCAATAGCAGCGTACAGACATGAAAGCTATTAAATTTCCATTCTCATTGAAAAGGTCTTTATACCCATCATGTTTCTATAAACCACAACATAAACATTCGCACTCAAGTAGTTTTTAAATAATAGATGATTAAAAATATTGACAACTCGCTCTTGCTTGCTACAGCCAATACGTCATCTGGTCTGGCGGGGGAGGCCGAGGCGGGGAATTCTGTGATCTCCACGACCTGACTCCCACCAGCCGCCAGCCCTCCCTCCCTCCTGGCGCTGAGCTCTGCGGGAAGTCAGGACTGGCCTGCACCTGCACCCGTTGCCAGGGCCTCACGTCAGGTGGACGGTGAAGGCGTCAGGTCCTGGGACCCACGGATGCCCCTCAGGGCCGGCCCCAGGCTCCTGGCTTCAGGGGCCCTGAGGTGCTTCATGGAAGGGTTGTGTCCCCTGGGAGAAGGGATTGATTTCCCAGAGCTGGTGAGCCAGACGCCCGGGTGTCTGTGGGGGTGTCTGGGGAAGGTAGCATGTGAGTGAGGGTGTGGGAGGGACCCTGTGTAGATCCTGGGGTGCCTCAGGACCCCCGGGCCATAGAGGCCAAGGAGGCTAAATCTCTCGGCCTGGAGCTGTGACGTCCATCTGCTTGAGTCCATGGACAGGAGCCCCGAGACCTGCAGCCTTTCTGCTGTGGCCCTACCTCAGCCTGAGGGCAGCTGGGGGGCCCACTCTGGACCCCTAGGGAGCTGTGTGAGCCAGCCCCCAGCGTGCATCTCTGATCTGCGTCTCTATTTATCCAACTGCTTAGGGAGGGGCCCGGCTTCAGTCCCCGCCACACCAAGGAGGTCACCGCTTACAAGCCCAAGGAGGGGTTGGCTCAGCACAGGTCCAGCTGCTTAAGTCAGGTCCTGGCTCATGGCATAGGCAGCTGAGGCCAGGGGGCTCCGGCGTCCCTGCACAGTGGCCCTTCCAGATTAGGGGAGCTGCCCATGCTGGCACCAAGGTCAGGAGCCAGACTCAAGGACCCCCTGGAGAACCAGAGGAACCAGGCACCCGGACTGAGACACCAGAGTCAGAGAGAGGGCCCTGCCCAGCTGCACTCCCAGCTGGCCCGTGATTCCCAGGTCCCTCCAGGCCTGCTGGCCCCAACTCACCTGGGACAGACCTCCCGGGAGCACGGCCTGCCTCGTCCAGCTCTCACGAGTGGGGGGTCCATGCAGAGACCTCAGGGTGTGCCGGAAGAAGGGCCACATCTGGACGATGGCCGTCAGGGGGTCGAAGGACCGGAGAGAGGACGCAGTTGTGAGCATGGGTGGGGCAGGCCCTTCAGTGAGGCGATGGCCTTCCTCGTCCCTCAGCAGGCCTCTCAGGGCTTGCTCCTGGAGACTGCTGGACCCAGCCGGCCCATCCTGAATGTGCTCCTCAAGGGAACCGGCGCGTCAGGGCGTCTCACCCGAGTGGCAGCAGCGTCTGTCTCCGCGCCCCTCAGGGAAGCAGCTCCTGTCGAGTCTCAGCTCTGGCAACGGTGGCAGGGCCCACCTTACTGACCACAAAGCCAGGGCTGTGCCCCTGCGGCCACCAGGGGAGGGACAGGCCCCCCATGGGTGCACCCATAGACTCGCTCACTTCAGCCCCCCAGGACTAGGCGGTTTCCCCAAAATGACCCCCCCCCCCGCGGAGGGACTTGTGTGGGAGGGGCTGTAGGGAGAGGCCTCTAGGGGTGCTGTGAGGGGGGCTGTGGGGGAGAGAGGCTGCATAGGGGCTGTGAGGGGCCTGTGTGGAGGGAGGCTGTGGGGGTTTCTGCACAACCTCACCCTCAGCCTCCAGCAGTGGGGATCTGAGTGTGAGCTGAGCCAACACGGCCCCTGTTCTGAGTCCCGCTGGTCACCTGACTGGGGAATTGTAGACAGCCCCCCGCAAATGCTGCTGATCCTCCCACCCTAGTGTGAGGGCCTCCAAATCAGGCCCCAAGGCGTGATGACAACTGGTGTCCAGGAGCCAGCAGCCATGTTTCTAAGATGCATCTGAAGACTCAGGTAATCACAGACACGGCAACAGAAGGAAAAGTCAAACACTATATTCAACCTTTAACCAAGATGTAAGAAAATACAATATTAAAAATGGTAAAACGGGCCCTCCCTGGTGGCGCAGCGGGTTAAACACAGCACTGAGAAGCTAAAGCCACTTCCGCATGAGTTCAATTCCCGCCTGCCCCGGAGGTGACCACATGGCGCGGCAGACCTCTCCTGGCCCGCCCGCTGCTCCCCTCAGCAGTGTACTTCGTAGATCTGATCAGGGTAAAAGATAGCTGGCTCTGGACTCCTGATAGCGCTCTGGAGCGCTGGGGGCTTGATTTTTTGCTGCAACTTAAAAATAAAACTTGAATCACAATAGCCCAGGACCCCTGGGTGACTTGCAACCCAAGGGCTCAAACTAATAGCACAAAATGTCAAGCAGTACCACCCCAGGGACACTATTCTCATGCAAAGGATCCTCTTTCTAGAAACATGAAAATTGGTATAACAAGGGATGAAGATGCTGGGCTTGCAGACAAAACGCTTCTTGTAAACGCCAAGCCTGCAATCTGCCATCTGAACTGAAGACCAGGAAAGCTCTGTGGGCCAGGTGGGGGTGCTGCCCCCTGGCGGGGACCCCAAGGAATGAGGGTGTCCTCAGCTGAGGTGGGCACAGCTTTTCAGGCTCAGTCCTCGCCCCTCCTGAGACCCTCAGGGCTGGGGTCTGGCTGCTCTGAGGCCTTTGTCACCTTCCCACCCCCCCACACACACAATCTTCCAGTAGGATCCAGGAGACCCCAGGACATTCCAGAACCCCATGGGCCTGATGTGCTGTGGGCCTCCCTGCTTTTGTCCAGGTGACTGGAGCAGATCTCGGCTCAGGCTGAGGGAAGATTAGGGAGGGGCAGGTCCTGGCCTGAGTCCCCGCTTCCCCCAACAGGCCCGGGGTTGAGTTTCACCACCAGGGGCAGGCCCAGCCCTGGCCTGAAGTGGGAAGGGTTCTCTGGCCTGAGCCTGGTCAGAGAAAACAGCCCTGAAGGGCCCCGTGAGCCTGGAGCCCCATCCAAGACATCCAGATGCCCCGCAGCTCTAAAGTCTGTGCCGGGGTGCCACCCCAGAAGACAGGCGGAGGGCCCCCTGTGTCCAGCTGTGACCGAGGAGGGTCCCAGCAGAGGAGGAGCCCCTTCAAGGAGCAGGGGGTTGGGGGGCAATGGAAGATGAAGCGGATCCTCCCAACTCAGGTGGGGGTTCCGGTGAAACCCCAAATGGACCGAGATGAAGCTGGATGCTGGGCAGGGAGGAGCTGGGCATTGCTCCTGGGACCCTGGAGATGATCTGGACGTGCCCACACGGTTCACACCCAGGCAGCAGGGGCAGAAGGGGCTGTCTCTGGGGGAACTTGAGACCGGAACAGGGAGGGGCCAGGAGCCCCCGTGAGGGCGGGAGGGAGCCCCCTGGTTGCCTGCCAGAAGAGGGTGCGTCCCCCTGGGCAGTGGGGCCAGAGGGGGGAGACTCCCCGTGCGGGGCAGCCCTGGGCGAGGCGGCGGGAGCCAGAGCCTCCCTGGCCGGGCGCTGGGGCGGCGGCAGCAGGAGCAGCGCGCAGGGCACCCTCCCTGCTCTGAGGGCGAGGGCCGCCCCGGGCATGCACCGCCATCCTTGGCCCACCCGGGCCTCCGGCCCCGTGTCCTGGGAGAGGAGAGCGGTGGCCACGCAGTGGGAGGGCCCGTTCCCCTGCAGCTGTGGTTTCGTACTCTTCAGACGGTCCCAGGCGTGGGTCACAGGTAGTTCAGGCTTTTCCTTTGGGGGGCCGCCCCCACCGTTTTCTAAAGTGACTCACCCGTAACGTCCCCTCCACAAAGGATGAGCCTCTTTTCCCGCACACCCTCGCCGACCCCGCCACTTCTGGGCTCCTGTGCAGGCAGTGCAGGCGCAGCACGTGGCCCTGGGTTTTGCTCGAATTCCTCTGGCGAGAAGCGCCTCGCTCCTGGAGCCTGCGGGCTGCGCTGTGCCGTCCTCGGAACCACCAGCAGGGGGCAGTGCGGGCCAAGGCTGCGCCTTTGACTCGCAGGGAGCCCACCCAGGCTTGCCCAGCCCTCCCTGCCTGCTGCAGCTCAGCCCTGTGGGTGAGTCAGGGCTGGGGGCTACGGGCCTGCACCCTCCTCCCGCTGCCCGGACCCGAGGTCAGGTGGACACGATGAAGCCTCCGGGGAGCCTCAGCTCATGGGCCACAGGATCCCACTGGCGCCAGAGGTGGGCAGGGAAGTCTGGATCCATCCCTGAGTCAGGTGAAAACTCAGCCTCGGGCCTCCCTGTAGGTGCCTGCACCCTAGGGGCTCTGTGGGTGCCGTCTCCCTGCTCGCCCTACAGGCCCTGACCCCTGCTGGCTCTACAGGTTTCTTGCTGCTGGTGGATCATGTCCTGCCCCCGGGGAGGATATGCTGAGTCGCTGCAAGGGATTATGGGGAGATTCCCCTGGCTTGGGGCTCTGCACCCCAAGTTGTCACCTCATATTGTTAGAAAGGACTGAGGAGGATTCCCTGACAGGGATGGGGTTCCAGGGGCAGAGGGGACCCAGCGGGACCTCTCTGTGGGGTCCAGCTTCTGTGACAGCCAAAGAGTAGGGAGGTCAAGTGGAAGGATTGTCCCTCTGGAGAAGATGTCCTTTCTCTCCTCTGCTCAGGGTCGCTGCTCAGAGGACGCTAGGGGTCCAGGGACCGGAGCCAGAGCCCCGCTGGGGCGGAGCTCCTCTCTGTCCAACTCAGTGTGCCGGCAGGGCCCCAGGGTAAGTGAGGGGCCAGGTGGGGCACCTTTCACCCAGGTGGGGTGGCTGGGAGGCCTTGCTGGCCTAGGTCCCAGCCCCCCCTCTGACCAGCCTTGGGCTGCAGTGGTGTCATTCTGCTGAGCCACCTGCAGGGGGCAGTGGAGGCCCAAGGCTGAGAATCTTAATCTGACTCTGAGGCCTGGATCCAACCTTGGCCCTCCCTCCCTCCTGGCACTGAGCTCTGCAGGGAGTCAGGACTGGCCTGCACCTGCTCCCGTTGCCAGGGCCCCACGTCAGGTGGACGGTGAGCCTCCCTCTGGGGCCTCAGGTCCTGGGACCCACGGATGCCCCTCAGGGCCGGCCCCAGGCTCCTGGCTTCACAGGGAGGCTGAGGTCCTTGACAAAAGCCCAGCCTGCTGCCCCAGGCCCTGGTGCTCAGGAGGAGCCTGTATTGGGGTGCCCTTAGCTCAGGGTCCCTGAGGTGCTGTCTCCTGGGTTGTGTCTCCTGGGAGAAGGGATTGATTTCCCAGAGCTGGTGAGCCAGACGCCTGGGTGTCTGTGGGGGTGTCTGGAAGGTAGCATGTGAGTGAGGGTGCGGGAGGGGCCCTGTGTAGATCCTGGGGTGCCTCAGGACCTCCGGGCCATAGAGGCCAAGGAGGCTAAATCTCTCGGCCTGGAGCTGTGACGTCTATCTGCTTGAGTCCGTAGACAGGAGCCCTGAGACCTGCAGCCTTTCAGCCGTGGCCCTGCTTCAGCCTGAGGCCAGCTGGGGGGCCCACTCTGGACCCCTAGGGAGCTGTGTGAGCCAGTCCCCACACACCAGGGCTCACCCCAGGACCTTGCACCGTCCGAGAGGTTGACTCAAGGCCTCCATATTAGCCTCCTTGTTCATGGACAAGGCAATGGCAGCCAAGTCAGTCTCATCAATATCACTCGAGCCCCAGAAGAAAAGCAGCGTGCACTGAAACACCGCACGCTGCACACCGGCTCTTAGGGAAATATCCCAAACCGCTTCATTCGGTGACAGCCTGCCAGTGGCTGCAGGCCCCAGAGGCTCCGGCGTCCCTGCCCAGTGGCCCCTCCAGCCCAGGGGCCCTGCCCGCACGGAGCAGGCTCTGGCTGCACGGACACGCGGCTGTTTTCCACTACAGATGCTGCTTTTCCAAAGAAGTTGCACAAATAAGAGTTGAGACGCTCTGCCCACTGCAGGGGTCCCCAGGCGGGTCCCCCACACCTGAGCCCAGACCCCAGGTGGGCCCTGCTTTCACCCTCCCGCCTGGGGGTGCTGTGCTGCTGAGGTGCAAGAGCAGAGACAGTCAGCCCCACCCGGGAGGCGCCCACCTGGGCTGGTGACCGTCAGGTCAGGGCGAGTGTCCTTCAGGGCAGCGGCCCCGGAGACACTGGCCAGTTCTTGCCTTTTGCTTTCTCCTTTACTTGCTAGACTGTGGGTGCAGGTGCTCAAAGCATAGGGAGGAGACCCTTGGAGGAGTTGCTGTGCCCATCACTACTCCTTTGCCAAGTGGAAAACACCTCTTGTCTACTTGTTATTTGTCTCTGGCAGGGTGTGTGGTGGGCTGGAGGAGCGACGAGCCCGCAGGTGACCTGCAGGTGAGTGTCCGTTTCTAGGAGCTGAACCAGCGCAGGGCTCCTCTCTGATGTGAGCAGGACCAACAGGGCAGGCGGGGCTGCCTTCCTCGGAGCCAGACGGGAGAAGGGGGTGCAGAGTTCGCTTCTCAGGAGGGGCTGGGTCCACCTTGGAACATGGTGGACAGACACACCAGGGGAGAGCAAGATTGAGACCCAGAGACCCAAGGAGGTCACGGCCCGGGCAGCAGCTTCACACCGTGTCTGCGGGGCGCAGGCAGAAGAGGACCGGACTCTTGCTGTCAAATCCCGGCAGCGGACACCTCAGGGGTGTCCTCACCCCTTAGACTCCACCTCAGGGGACAGCACGAGCCCTCGATCCTCGGCCAGGACAGCACCTGAGTTCTCCCGTCAGGGGTTCGCCCCTTGCTCTAAAACTGCTCCCCCCAGGCCCTGTTCCCAAACCCTAAAATTATTTGGGATCCCAGAGATGGAGGGGAGACGCGGGTGTCCTCCCCCATTGTGCTCCAGGTGCCCAGGGGCTGGGGTTCCACTGCTCCCCACCTGGCCCCCGCAGGAGCACCCCACAATCCCATGGGCAGGTGCCCAGAGTTTTCCAGGTGGGGCTTGCCGTCAGATCCGTCTCTGCGTTGTATGAGAGCCTCCCGGAGCTACATGCCCAGACGCCAGGCTGAAGAAGCCGCATCATCTCGCTGGGCCTCAGTTTCCCCTGTGTGGAAGGAAGACGGGGAAGCCAGGTTCCTTCCAGGTCCTGTGACATTCTGTCCTTCACACACATCACTCGTGGTCCCAAAAAGCTTTAATGGTGGGGTGGAATAGGAAGGCCGTGAGGGTTTAGAGGGGAGCAGGGACCCCAAAACACAGTCCTAACTCAGGGCCCCCTTGGAGGGACTGGATGGAGAATTCCAGGGCTTTCTGCTTGTCAGACAGTGCTGGGGGGCCCAGTTGGGCCTGCCTGCGTGGGAGGGGGTTCGGGGGGGGCGGCGTCCTCAGAATTTGGGGACAGGGCTCAAACGACGGGGCGGGACAGGGATGGCATGCTCCCGCTGGGACATGGCGCCCAGGGGGTGTCTGGGGTAGGACGAGGTATAAGTGGTCTCCGCCGGGCCATGCAGGGGGGCCAGCCATCGCTGCTTCAGCTGCTCATAGAAACCGTAGTTTGTAGGGGGGCCTGCAAGAGAAACCGGGTGGGGTGAGCAGGGCTTAGAGAAGGACTCTCAGGAGCCGGGGGTGGGGCCTGGGGTTTACCCCCAGGGGCTGGGTGAGGGCCTTGGTTGCCCAGCAAAGGTTATGCTGGCAGCCAGGGGGCTCACTCTGTGGCCCTTTGCATCCCTTCCCCCTTCCCCCTCGCTCTCCCCCTTCCCCTCCTCTTCCTCCTCCCCCTCCCCCTTCCCTCCCCCCCAACAGTTCAGCTTCCGCACCATAAATCCCTTCTACAAATCCATACCAGTGCTGTGGCCTGTGGGCCTGCGGGGGTGGGCTGGGGGGTCCTCTCACGTGCACCCCCTGCCTGGGGATGCTCTTCCCTGCAGACCCTGCCTGGCTCCCTCCTGCTCAGCCCAACCATCTCAAGAAAGAGCACCCTTGTCACTTCACCCAAAGGTGAGATGCACGAATTCCAAGTACCGCTCCCGCCACGGAACTGCCTTCTTGACTCGACTGTACGTAATCTTATGCATTAGTGGTGTCCTATCTGTCTCCCCACTGCATTCTCCGCCACCAAAACTGTCACTGCACTGCTGTGTCCCCAGAGCCAGCAGAACTTGCGGCCAAAGAGTCAGGTGCTGCAGTGCCGCTCTGCCCTGCCCCCGTGCCAGGTGAGGTTGCTGCAGGGCGCAGGTGAGGTTGCTGCATGGCGCAGGTGAGGGCCTCACTGCACGGCCCACACCGTCTGGGCAAAGGCAGGGTGGGCACAGCCGTGGGGGCAAACAGCCCCTCATCTCGGTGCCCCCCGCATCAGGGTAGCCTGTGGGGGGCCAGCACCCCCACCCCCCACGGTCGGCGCCCCTCCCAGCCCCAGCCAAGCACCAACGAGGGGGAAATCGGCCTTCTCCGGGAGCCACAGCTGCTTCTGTCTGCTCCAGGTGCGTCGCGAGGGCACCCCCGGGTTATAGTTGTGCCTGTTGAAATGGTCGTCGTAGGTGCTGACCAGGTAGCGGTGCGCGGGCTCCTGGTGGTGGGTGATCAGGTGTCTGTAGGGGAGCCCCTGGAAGGACAGATGCAGGGGCGGTTACAGGGGGCTGGGGCTGGAGCCAGACGCCGCCGTGGGGGGTGGGCGGAGCGGGGTGCCTGGGCCCCATGGAGACTCGCTTTCTGCCTCACCCCGACACAGCTCACCTCAGTCATGCGTGTGGGCTTAACCATGTTCACTTGCTGGCACGAGGACCCCTCGCCCGTGCCAAGTCAGTCACCCCCAGAATGAGCTATGGGGGCGGACGTGACGCCCACCCAGTGGAAAAGCAAGCGTCAGGCTCTCACTGGCACCCTGGTCTGAAATCGCACCCCGACTCATCTTGAGTCTCTTCCATCCAGGGCCCCTTTCCATGCCTGGCGCGGCCTCTTGTGTGTCAGTGACTGTGGGAAGCGCCAGAGAAACCCCATAAATTGTCTTCTCCTGCAAAGGATTTACAGCTCCCTCAGCTGGAGACACGGGGAGTGACTTCTTTGGTGGGGAGTTATTTACAGGGAGAAGAAAGTCATGTCTCCTTTCTCGGGAGTCTGGCCTCCATCGGCCTTTTCTCAAGAAATCCTCTTGGCTCTGGATGAGAACTCTGGGGGCGGGGCTGATTTACGGGGGTCGGGGTGTGGTAATGTTGATTTCCATGCCCGTCCTCTTGTCTGGAGAGACAGGGAGGTCTGTGTCTGCCCTGGTCTGGAATGCAGGCTGCACCCAATATTTCAAGTGTTGGTGCCATAAATAAGTCAGACCACAATGCCCTAGGGAGACAAAGGGGGTGCACGCAGACATTAAGCAGGGGTTCCCAAGATCTCCATCATCAGGTGTCTGGAGCATATTTCAATGCCCAGGAAAGCAAGTTGGAGGGGTTCCCGTGCACAAAGGGGAGCCCCAGGAGGCATGGCAGTGAGGAGGAGGGTGCCCCACTGCCATCTGATCACATGGGGGGATCTGTTCTCATCAAATACGCCAGTGACAGGGACGCTGCCTCAGAGAGAGCAGCCTGTTACTTAGTTCCCCGGAAGCGGAGGCGTGAGTGACCTCACACAGGGCCACCTGGGGAAGTGCCAGGTCTGGTCAGGGGCCAGGAGGAGGGCAGAGGACTGGCCCAGAGCCCTCAGGGCAACTTCCATGGAAAGAGCAGGCAAGGGGGAGAAGTTTGGGGTCGTGGGGTTGGGACAACTGTCAAGGACTCTGGGCCACCAGTGGTCCAGGGTGACTTAGCAGAGGTGGATATGGGACCTGCATGTGAGCCAGACCCAGGGGGCCTGGTTGCTAGTCTCAGGCGAGGGGTGTCCTCTCTCTAGGGCCACACCAGCCTCAGAAGGGGCCGTCTCTGCAGGGACAGCAAGGATGTGACATGGTAATGCCTCACAGACACTCAAAACCAGGAACACACTGGCCTCGGGGAACGGCAGGTGGGAAGGGTGAGGGGGGTGACCACCCATCTATCCAGGATCCGTTAGGGGAGCAGAGGCCAGGTGGCCGAAGGAGAGGAGTCAGCGGGGGCGGGGGGGGAGGGGAGCTGGCAGACATCACCTGGGTTCAAGCAGCCGCACCCATGTGGTGCCAGGGCCCCAGGCTGGCAATGTGAGCGTCCGGAGGGGCAAATAGCCATCGGGTGTGTGTGTCGGGGGCCGGTCACTTCAATTTGACGTATGCGTGTGCTTGGTCCTTAGTTAGGGGTAGTAAAGGACGCGAAGGTCTTGAGCACAGGACACCCGCTATGCTGGGCTCCTGTGCTCGCCTCCTTAAAGTGTATTTGTGACCTCAGAGCACACTAGCCGTGAAGGCGGCCGGCCCAAAGCATCAGATGGCCTGAGGGTTTCAACCTGAGGACACCAGCGTGGCCCAGGGAGGCCAGCGTAGTCCGAGGGTGTCAACACAGAACTGAAATCGCTGCTGTTTAGCCTGACTTGGATTTCCAAACAGAAGACAGCCTACGGCGGGTGATGACAGGTGTCCAAGTTTGATTTCAACATAGCCACCTGCTCTGGCCTTTATCAAAGGTTCAAACATGCTTGACACCCCCAGGCACCTTTGGTCTGGAAATTAGGGCTCTGGCTGAGCCCACCTCTTGCTGTTCTAAAATGTCCCCATGGCAGCTGGTGCCACTTGTCCTCTGGGCCAACCCTTGGCCAGTGGTAGGGATGCGGGTGAGTTCACCTCCCTGGGCAGCAGGCTGGCAAAATCAGCACTTTGGGGTATGTTCCAGAGCAGGATGGGGCAAGGCTGTAGCCCTGGTGGGGCGGAACATGCTGCTCTCCCAGGGGCCCCCTCCCATTCCTGGGGGAACAGGGTCTGTGTGCAGGGAGCCTCTGGACACTCTACGTAAATTGACAGAGACCTGCACCCTACTCGGTTGCGGGGTTGCTGGGAGGTTGCAGTGTCCTGCTACCCATCCTGTGGGCTGGGGCACACCACCCACAGGGTGTGGGGCGCGGGCTGTGCTGACTGGGCTGACTCTGTGTAGGGACGAACAGGAGGCTGGGGCAGGGGTCATCCACAGCGCAGCTTAACTCATGCTACTTGTGCGTGGCATTCCCTGTGGGGCTCCTCACTAGAGTCACCTTGATTCAGAATCTATCTGGTTCTCTGTTTCCTGTAGCCTTCAGCTGCAAATAAGAGTGAGGCTCTTGGTGGCTCCGGGGCAGAGAAGGGGATGAGGGAGACTCTCTCTGTGCCCCCAAGAAGGATCTAGGCCTAGAAGACGCTGGTGGGTGGTGTCTCCCCAGCTTTGCATAGCCCCCGGCCCAAGTTGGGGGGCCTGCTGTCTCTTACCTCGACTCTCTTCTTCCCGTACCATCTGGAAATCTGGTCTGGCCTGTGGCCTGGGAAAGGGACATAGTCTTTTCTATAAAGGGACTGAGGTGTCTTCTCAGTGGCTTTGGTGAACTGGAAAAACAAATAAATATTCTGGAGCAACCCTGTGACAACTGCTACTTCTCATCTTCTCAAACTTCTGCTGTAGCCCCTTACCTTCAGCCATAGGAAGGTAGCAGAGAAATCTCTGGGTGCATATGAACCCCAGGGCATCTCACATGATGCAGGCTTCATTGTGCCCTCTCCCATCAGCATTCGGAAAGGAGTGGGCTCAGGACCTGGCATTGCCAGGCTGGACACAGGCAGGCCATTATTGGGGTCACCTGGCCATTCTCGCCTCTACACCTGCTCCAGTCCTCACCTTTACTCTCCCTTCTCCTCCCTCTTGCTTGAGTCCTCCCTTTCTTTTTCCTCTCTGTTCTTCACTCTTCCCAATGCCACTCCCCGCCCCATTCCCATGTATTAGATTTTATGATGTTGTTTGATTCATTGTGGTCATTATGTATACTAACAAAACTAACCATTTAACCATTTTTAAGCTCAACGTAATTGAGCACATTAATTATCACCAGAACATTTTCATCATCTCAACTGAAACTCTGTACCCATTAAACTCCCCACCCTTCCCCCAGTCCCTGTTGTCTCTATGAATTTGACTCCTCTAGGTGACTTCTATGTCAGTGGTCGCATACACTGTCTGTGACTGACCTGTTCCACTTAGTGCAGTATCTGAAAGGTTCATCTGATTGTAGCATTTGTCAGAATTGTTTTCCTTTTCAGGGTTGAGTAATATTCCACAGCAGGTAATGTCCCGTTTTGCTTATCTATTCATCTATCGTTGGATTACTTCATTTCCCATCCTGTGGATTGCCATTTTATTATTTTTGGCATTCTTTGATGAAAAAAAGTTTTTAATTTTGATGAATTTATCTATTTTTTCTGTTGATAGTTACCACTGTTTTTGAGTCACAAATAATTGCCAAATTCAAGACCATGAATATATTCTCCAATGTTAGTCCTCTTAGACTTACAAAATTAGGTCTTACAGATAGGTCTTCATCCATTTTGAATTGTGTTTTGTATGTGATGTATAGTAATGGTACAATTTCACTCTTTTGCATGTGGATTTTCATTTATTTTGGTACAGTGTCTCCATTGAAGAATCTTGGATTCTTTGTTGGAAATCATTTGACCAGCTATATGAGGCTTCTTTCCTGAGTTTTTTTTTTCCTATTCCATTGATTTATGTGTCTGCCTTTGTGCCAATATCCCACTATTTGATTATAGTTGTTTTGTAATTCATCTTGAAATCAGAACCTGTGAGCCCTCTCACTGTTCTTCTCCACATTATTTTGGCAATTCAGTCTCTTGAGGGGTCTAATGAATTTTATGATTGATTTTTTTAAATTTCTGCAAACAATTATCATAGGGATTGATTATATTGAATCTGTATTTTGGGGTCATATTATCACATTAATACCTTAGTGATATTAAGTCTTCCAATTCATGAACTTAGGATGTGTTTCCACTTCTGCAATCTTCTTTTATTTCTTTCAACAATGCTTATAGTTTTCAGGGTTTAAGACTTTTGCCTCTTTGGCTAAATTTACTCCTAAGATTTTTCTCTTTTTCATGTTAGTGTAAATACAATTGTTTTCTTAATTTCTTCTTTAGTGTTTATTGTTGGTGGGTAGAAATTCACTGGCTGTTGACTTTGTGTAACACTATTTTGCTAATTTTCTATTGACTTTGTATAACACTACTTAGCTAAATTCCTGTCTACCTTTTAATAGGTATGTATGGGTGTGTGTGATCTTGTGTGTGGTGATAACATCATATCATCTGCAGGCAGAGATAACTTTATTCCTTCCTTTCCAATTTGCTTGCCCTTTATTTCTCTTTATTGTTTCATTGCTCTGGCTAGAAATGTCAATGTTATAGTGAACAGAAATGACAAGAGCACAGTGATAGTAGAAGAAAAGCTCTTGGTCTGTTATCACTGAATATGATGTTAGTTGTGGATTTCAGTAGAAAATCGTGTTTCAGTAGAAAATGCTTAGTAGAATTCACTCATCCACCAAGCCGTAGGCTTTTATTTGAGGCAGGTTTGATTACTGATTCAGTCTCTTTATTTGTTACAGCTCTGTTCAGCATTTCTATTTCTCCATGACCCTTTTTTCAATTTATACTATCCTTCTTTGGTTCTTATAACTTTTTTTTAACTTAAAATCTGTTTGATATCAACATAGTCACCCCACTCTTTTCTGGTTACTATTTGCATGGGATATCTTTTCATGCCCTTTCACTTTCAGTTTATACATGTCCTCAGATAAAGACAGTCTCAGCAAATAGCTGGAACCTGGATTCTTTTTTTTTTTTAATTCTAAGTCTGTCTTTTAATTGACAGCTTAATCTACTTTTTTTTTTTTTTTTACAGAAATGGGGTACAGACCAGAGGCAATGGGTACAGAAACAGTGCGGAGAGCAGAACAGGCAGATTGGCAAAGTACACTGCTGAGAGGAGAAGCGGGCAAGACAGGAGAGGTCTGCTGTGCCTTGTGGGTCAGCTCCACGGCGGGGATAGAACCCTCACTGACGTGGCCACGGCTTGGCTTAGTTTCAGCAGTTCGTTGCTCTAACCCACTGCGCCACCAGGGAGGGACCTACTTACATTTCTTAAAAAGATTTTATTTGGGGCCCTCCCTGGTGGCACAGCATGCTAAAGCTTGAGTTCAATTCCCGCCTGCCCCGGAGGTGACCACAGGGCACGGCAGACCTCTCCTGACCTGCCCACTGCTCCCCTCAGCAGTGTACTTCATTGATCTGCCTGTTCTGCTCCCTGTTCTGTCTCTGGTGAATCCTCTCACCCTCCACATCTCTGGTCTGTACCCCAGATCTATATGAATAAATAAATCTTAAAAATTTTTACTTTATTTTATTATTTTTTAACAGAATAACTAGGATGCAGGCCAGAGGTGTGTGTGGAAGGGATGAGAAGATTCCCCAGAGACAGAGTGGGGAATAGAACAGTACACTGCTGAGGGGAGCAGCGGGTCAACAGGAGGGGTCTGCTGCGCCGTGTGGGTCACCCCCTGGCAGGAAATCCACTCCTCTGCAGGGGCTGCGGAGGTTTCCCTCCTATATAAAACAGTGGCACCAACATAATAATAGTTAATAGTGATATGGGTAGCCGAAAACCATATATTGTTACGAGTGGTGCCTCCTGGCGGGGCCTGCTGGTAAAAAATAGAGCCCCCCAAAAAGGTGCTAAAACTGGGGTGAAAGCAATGAAAAAATTTACCCGGGAGCTCTGCGCATGCGCGAGGGGCTGCGCTGGGCACGCGGCGCTCCTCGCACATGCGCAACAGGAGGCCGAGCTCGCCTCAGCAGCGCCGGTCAAGATGGCGGCAGAGGACTCCCGCGGAGAGGGCTTCGGGGCTGGGCCTTGTGGGCTCGCCATCAAGTGCGGCCTTGTCTGAGTAGTCATTTTGGAAGCGTCTGGTGAGGCCTGGTGGAGAAATGGCGACCCGGAACAGGCACCCTGCCTGGAGACGCCGGGGGACGGGAGACCAGGAGCCGGGCGCAGAGCGTGAGTGTGGCCGCCCTCAGTCCGGTGGTGCGCAGTGGTGGCCAGGGTGGCCTTTGGCGCTGTGCAGGGTGCTCCGGCAGCTCAGGGAGCGCCTTCCAGCAGCCTTTGCTGGGGGAGGCCCCGCCCGGTCTGACAGGAGCTGCTTCCTCATGGCCCACGACGTCATGACGTGTTTGTCCAGGACTGGTCGGTGCAGGAAGGCGTCGGGCAGAGTGAACGGCCATCAGTGGCCTCAGTAACTCAATTTCCCTGGTTTGTTAAATACACCCTTTGGTTGCTAGTCTCAGAACCTGACGTGTCTTGCAGTTGCGTGCGGGTAAAGAGCCCAGACAGTAACCAGGAAACTGCTGGGCAGAGGGACTGGCCAGTGTAGTGGCCCCTGCTGCCCTGTGTCAATAGCGGTGGGTTTGTATTTGTGCCTGTACACACCTGCACAGTCTGGCCTTGCTCCATGTCAACTTTAAAGGCCCCATGAGCATTTTTTCTTTTTTGTGTTAAAACTATGTATGCATACAGAACTGGGGCACCGGCCAGGGGTGCAGGGGTGGTGAGAGGATTCACCAGAGACCGTGGGGGGTAGGACAGGCAGATGGACAAAGTACACTGCTGAGGGGAGCATTGGGCAAGACACACCATGTGGGTCACCTTCCAGGCCAGGGATGTACCTGCCCGAGGCAGCTGTGGCTGGCGTGCAATGCTGCCCTTTAACCTGCAGCACCACCAGGGAGGGCCCACATTTCTTTCTTTGTTTCTTTTTTAAAAAAAGGGATTTATTTATTTATGCACACAAGAACTGGGGTACAGGCCAGAGCTGTAGGGGTTGGAGGGGTGAGAGGTTTCACCAGAGACAGTGGGGAACAGAACAGGCGGATCTACTGAAGCACACTGCTGAGGGGAGCATGGGTGGGACAGGAGAGGTCTCCCGCGCCCTGTGGGTCACCCCCTGGCCAGGGATCAAACTCATGCTGCAGTGACTGCAGACAGCTTCATAGTGGTGAAGCTTTAACCCCTTGTGCCACCAGGGAGGGCCCCCACTAGCGTTTCTTGTAGGGAAGTCTAGTAGTAATACGTCCGCTTAGATTTTGTTTATCTGAGGCTGTTTTAATTTCACCTTCATTTCTGGAGAATAGCTTTGCTAGCTATAGGTTTTCAATTGTAAGACTTTCTCTCTCCCCAGAACTGTAAATATGTCGCCGTCTGAACTGCTGAGAAATCTACTGCATTTATAGATTCCCGTGGAGTTGATAAGTTGTTTTTTCTGGATGCTTTTAAGAGGATCCTATTGACTTTGACTGTTTGTATCTTGCATGGGTGTCTAAACTTACCCTACTTGGAATTCATAGACCTTCCTGCATTTGTCAGTCTTGACTTCACATTTAGGAAGTCTTCAGCCATCATTTATTCAAATAACCTCAGTGCTCCTTCTCTCTCTGTATCCTCCCACAGCGTATACCCCTCAGATTTATTCACTTCAATGACCTGTCTTAAGGTTCTCTGATTCTTCTGTCTGTTGGTGAACTTCACTAACATTTTTTTCAACTGCAGAATTCCTGTTGGATTCCTTTTTATGATTTCTGTCTCCACTGCTATTCTCATTTTGTCCATATATCATTTTTCAGATTTCCTTTTTTTTAAGAATTATTTTAAGTTTTTGTCAAGTACTTCTAATGTCTGTGTAACTTCAAGGACAGTTTCTGCCATTTCATTTTCCTTTTTCATAGAACTGGGGTGCAGGCCAGAGGTGTGGGGGGTGAGAGGACTCACCAGATAGAGTGGGCAAAAACAGGCAGAGCTGCTGAAATACACTGCTGACAGGAGCCGCCGATGAGACAGGAGAGGTCTGCCGTGCCCAGTGTGGGTCAGCTCCATGGCCTGGGCTCAAACTCAGGCCATAGTTGTGATAGCCCCAGGGCCACCTGGGAGGCCCTGCCTTTTCATTTTCTTCCTTGGAAGGTTCACATTTCTTTGTATGCACTTGAAAAAAATAGTCACTTCTCCTAGCCTGGGGGAAGATTGCTTGCTACTAGCTGGGCATGTTCTGAGTCTTAGAGTCAGTCTGGCATGAAAGTTTAAGATCTTTTCGGGATTTTTTGGAGCCTGCAACTTGCCTGATTTTGTGTGTGTGTGTGTGTGTGTGTGTGTGTGTGTGTGTGTGTACACTGCTCAGGCATGCTTTTTTATTTTCCCTGTTTGCACAGTTGCTTTAAAGTACTTTTGGGCCCTCTCTGGTGGCCCAGCGGGTGAAAGTCAGCACCATGAAGCTCGCTGCAGTGGCTTCACCTGGAGTCCGATCCCCTGCCTAGAGGTGACCCACAGGGTGTAGCAGACCCCTATCTCCCCACTGCTGCCCTCGGCAGTGTACTTCGTTGATCTGCCTGTTCTGCACCCCACTCTGTCTCTGGTGAATCCTCTCACTGCTCCTCCACCTCTGGCCCAGTTCTGTATGCATAAATAAATCTTTTAAAAAACTAAAATAAAATAGTTTACTAAGAGTTTCTCCCCTACTTTTACTTGGGATCTTGTATTCTTCTTACCTGAGAAATCTTGTCCCAGGTATTTGCAGCTCTGTAGTCCCCTGGCAACTTTCTCTCCCTGTGACCAACATAACTCCCACGGTTTTCCTAGACTGAAATATAACCATGCCTCTTCCCCCTGTCTAGGCTCTGAGTCAGGCAAAACAGAGGAAATCACTCAGGCAGCCCCAGACAAGTTAGAACACAGCTCACTCCTCCAGGCTTGAGGCGCTGGCCTGCTCCCCCCAACACAGCACTGTGCTTCGTGGGGAGTTTGTGGGGAAAGGACGAGTAAGCCCCTCTGGGAATTTCCTACCAGTCTGAACGGCTTTTGCTAACTTGGGCATTTGAGATTGGTTGCTGTAGACCTTGGCTATTTTCCAAAGCTCCCTAGAAGTTCTTTTAGTGAAATGATAGCTGTTTTTCAGCATTTCCATGGGAAAACAGGGACCTGGAGCTTCCTAGTCTCCCATCCTCCTGATGCCACCATGACCTCACTCTCTATGCAACCCCCTCTGGGTGTGAGCTCAGTCGTGGTGTGAGCAACACCATGTCCCTGGGTGTTGCTGGTCCACAGGACCCAGGGATTGCCTGGCCAGTCCTTCCTGCTCTGGAATTTCCCATACACACACCTGCTCCCCAAACAAGGGCATGGACAATCAGCGGCAACAATGGTCAAGGCCATGGCTGGCCAGAGAGGTGGTGGATGCAAATGCTTTCCGTGAAAACAGCGCTTCATGGCTTTCCAAAGTCACTCCACCTTCCCCACACCACACAGAGGTGTCCATTCTAGCTCATCCTCTCCCACATTTCCCAAAAAGGATGAGGTTGTCTAGAGGTGTCTGCAGAAATTGAAGTGACTCAATCTCGCTTGCCATACATCAAGACCTACGTTTAAGTAGGTCAAGTCAAGCTTCTCCATGGTGTTGAAGTCACGGGGATCCCAAAGGCCTATTTGCTCTGTTTTGATAGTAAAAACTGAGATGCCCAGGCAGGGGCCTGAGGACAGAGCAGGAACCTGAGGGTGGCAGTACCACTCTGGCTGGCACCCGTCAGGGTTCATCACAGCTGCCTCAGCAGTTACTACATTCTGGAATAGTCAGGCCAGAGAGGGCTGAGGTTCTTTGCGTCAAGGTGCAGAGAAATTGGGGGCAGGGAACATCCCCAGCTGCAATAATACCGGCAGCACACAGTTGGCACATCTGCCACGGGACTTTAAGATACAATGGGGACCTTGGTGATTGCTGGGACAGGATCCCCCGGCATGGAGCCAGCGGCTAAGGCCACATTCCTGAGGTGTTGTCATCTGTGGCCCTTGCTTTGGAGACAGTACTGACGTCACAGCCACCCCTTCCTGCCAACCCCCCCCCCCCAAGCCCTCTGCCTTCCTGGGTCCTTACCTTCCTCCTCTCTTCCACCCAGTTTCCAGTAAGTACTCTGCTGGAATACTTGGCCTCGATCTTCCAGCTTGGAGTAGAGAATGACTGTGGATTTGCTGTAGTCCAAAGCTGCATGATAAGGGGGGGACCCTCAAGTTTCTTTGCCTCAGTCTGGTTTAAGGAATCGGGGCTGGGATGGAGATGTTATGCAGTTGCTGGGTTTGGGATACCTTCTTTTTCTTCCCGGCCACCTTCTCACATGGGCAGTAAATGACAGCCTGCCACCTTCACAGGATCCAAGGGCCTAAGAGTCCACTTTCAGTCTGTGGGGAGAGGTGATGGGATCTTGGGTTCCCTGCTGTTGACTGTCTCCGTGGCGATGGACTCTCCATGGTGATAAACACTCTCCTTAAGGGAGCAACTGGCTCTTCAGGAGCAAAATCCACTCTCCAAAATCAAGTCAAATTGGCTACCACCACCACAAACCTGGGGGCTGGGGGAGCCTGGACCCCCCGTTGTCATTCGCTAAGCACCGGCTTCTTTGCTGCACGTTCGTGAGAGAGGTCAGTGCTTTCTACTGTCACTTAAAGAGAGCTCATGTGCCAGCCCCACGCTGAGACAGTAACATGTGCTCACTTGTCGTATCCTGACAGTGCCATGGCGCCCCGTAGGGTACCTGCGTCCGACGAGGGCATTGAGGCACAGGGGAGCAGCTGCCTGAGGCTAAACATAGGAGAACAGAGACTTAGATGCATTCTGTCTGGGGCCCGAATCCTGGCCTCCATCCGTGCCCTCTGCCCTTCATCTCGAGGGCTTCCACGGGGGACCCTGACTTGGTGCCTGGACGGACTCAGTGTGGCGCGTTAGGCCCCTCTTCATCCTTCTTGCTGTGGTCATCCTACTGGGCACATGCTCCACCTTGGGCACTGAGCGGGCTCTGCCACGTATCAGGGATAGGCCAGGACCCCATCCACAGAGCTCAGGGATAAAGGCTGTTGTTTTGCTTATTCCCTTGGAGGGGGGAGATCAGAATAATAAATCCCTAATAATAAACCTATGAACAGAGGACTGGTTCCGTAAAGTTTATAGACATGAACAAGTGGATTGTCCAGTCAAAGTAAATATGCAGATAATCGAATGACAGTGGCCAAAGGCCCACGAAACCAGTATGTGTGTCAGTATCCAGAACCCCAGAGGTGCCTTACATGGCCCCTCCCACTGCACCCCCATTCCTATAGCAATTGCTCTTGTTTGCCGTGTAGGTCAGCTACAAAGGGAGCATTTGAACCACCACTTAGCTGAGCTGGTCTGAGCTCTGGCTCAGTGGCCCCATTGGGTTCAGTCTCGTCTCAATGCAGTAAGTGTTCCTGGGGTTGCCATGTGGCCAGAAGCAGGGTTGCTAGGGGTTCTTGTCCCCAGCCCCATCTCTTGCGGCCAAGTTCTAGGTCAGTGGCCCCAAAATTGTTAAGGGCCCAAATGGCTTTTGAAAGTGTGGGTTATGGACAGTGCTGAAGTTTGGTTGTACCAGCTCCTGAGAACCGACTGCGCTACGACCGCAATATCACAAGGCTGTCGGTCTGTCTGTACCTTGAGGTCAGTCGAGGTGGGAAGATTTACGTCACAGGACTGGCAGACACTGCCTGTCAGGCCCATTATGTTCCTGTAAAGAGAGGCCGTTTACCAGCATGCTGCCGGTTTATTCCAGTATTTATCATGTTAAAGTCAAACTTAAATCAAAATTGCTTATGTCAATTATTTGCGAATATAGCAACGTTTACTGATTTATTGAAAATAAGAAGCACATTGCATGTGTTTAATTATGTATGAACATAATTAAATGTTAATGAAAAATAACTGTTCTCCAAAGCAGGACATTTAGTGAACAGGATTTATGTTTTTGCAACTCTCTTTAATGTGTGACCTAATAAGGGACTGATGGAGGATAAAATAAAAAAACTGGAAAGGATACGATGAGGTCAGGAATCTGTGTCATCCAGGGGGAGGGGGAAGAACTAATGTGGCCATGCATCCAGCTACAGAAATTATCAGTTGGCTGCGGGCATGTCAAGAACACACACCTGAAGGTGAGACATGGGGGCTAAGGAGCACACTGTCCACTCAGGAGATGGACCCTCCCTACCCAGAAGGCGATGCTGAGCCCAGCACTGTCTCCAGAGAGCGGCAGCATCCTGCTGCCACCTGTGCCTGTGCAGGTGCTTCTCCCCACCCACTCAGCGGCCTCCTGCTGCTTGTCCATGACCTGCACCTGCCGGGGCTTCTCTGCACCAACCTCCCTCTGTGGAGGCTGCTGTCCTCAGGCCTCCCCTTTCAGAGAGGCCCTTGTGTATGTGCAGGTGTCCTTCTCTTTTCTGTTCCTTTTTTTGCTAAAACTGCTCCTTACACATGCCTGACGTTTCTGTGCCCTGGGGAATCTCACCGCGTGCAGCTGGCAGGGAGCTCTGCAGAAACCTTTCCAAGAGGGGACCCAAGGACCCCACCTCAACCTGCCGACTCGAAGACTACATCATCTGGTGCCCAGAGTGGGATGTTTCATGGCATCAGATTAAAAACAACATCAGTGCCTTCTGCGGTCAGTCTGTTGTGATGTGTTGTTTTGTTTAAAGGAGAAAATACAACAGTATGTAGTTGGGGGAGAAAGAAGTATTTGGATTGCTGTGGCTGCCATTGTGGCTGATGATGAACTTGGTGACTGGTGGTTTCTTGGGATGGCACCTGGAATACTGAGGACCGAGGGGTGTGAAGGCTGGGTCATGAGGTGTATGTGAGATAAAGCCAAACTGGCTTCCCACTGCTTTCCTCTCATTGCGCTGCTTGCTGCTCTTACCCCATGCCTTCCAGCCTTCCAGAATTTTTTTGTCATCCCAGACAGGACCTCTGTCCCATTAGAGAACAACACACATTCCTTCTCTCCCACACCCTGGTAACCTCTATTCTACTTTTTGTCTTTATGAGTTTGCCTTTTTTAGCTATTCCAAATGTGTGACCCCCTGGCCCGCCTTGTTCTCGGGGCTGTTGTCTTGGTGCTAAGTTCTTGCAGGTCAGCTAAACCTCCAGTCAGCCAGGAGGCAACTCACTAAGGAGAAAAGCCCTGGTCTGAGGCACATAGTATCTGCGGAAAACAGCGGGCAGACGTGATGGCCACATCAGCAAGCTCGGTGAAGCGCCTGTCTTGTGAGGATGAGCAGGAAGTTGGGCACGAGTGGGGAGCAGAGAGAACACGCTGCGACAGCAGAGCCCCCAGCCCAGAGCCCCTGGTCCTCCTCCCTGGCTGACACCCCCATCACGCACCCCCTCACTTGGACACCTCCAGCATGAACACTCCCTAGGTACTTGCCCAACTCTGTACTTGATTCAGATGACTACACCACGCCTTTGGATGCGCTGCACATCACTTCCAGGGTAGCCGCTCTGGGCGTTTCATTGCTCCAAACTGCTTGGACTTTGTGTGATCTTTCCCTGCCCATACTACTCCCAGCACTGATGCTCTGCGAGGTGACACCCAAATAAATGAGACCACCTAGTCTTTGTCTGTTTGTGTCTGGATCATTTTCCTTAGTGCAGTGTTGTCGGGTCATCCACACCATAGCCTGAAGCAAAATCTCTCTTCTTTCTGGCCGCATAGTGCTCCTTTGCTGGATGTGCAGACCGCACTTGGTTCACCCACTCATCTGTGGCTTCTACAGTTTAGTTATTGCAAATAAAGCTACTCTTCCTGCTGCTGGGCATTGTCTGACCTACCCCTTTTCATCTGTTGAATGTACAGCCAGGAGGGCTTGGTGTCACCAGGCTGTATTCCAGAGAGGTTGTGCCATTTTCATTGTCACCACCAACACACTTCTTTTTCCACATCTTTGCCAACACTTGTATTTTTCGGTTTTAGTTGTAGCTGCTGTAACGGGGTTAGGGGGTACTTTGTTGTGCCTCTCCCTGATGATGTGGCCCATGTTCCATGTGGCCGCTAGGGCATCTCTAGAGAACCCCCTTAGCCGTGTCTGATAAAGAGCAGGTGAGGAGGCAGCTAACAATGATTCAGCATGCTCTACCCAAGTCAACTCTCATGCTGGAAAAGGCCCCATGAGCACAGCCTATGCTAGGTATACCCCAACTTCAAGCAGGAACACTGAGGGATGGGCGGCTAAGTGAATGCAGGGCTGCTGATCAGCTCCAGACCACATATCCCTCATCACCTCTCCTCCTCAAAGGGGCTTTCCTTGTAAGGCAGCAGAAACAGATATAAAAGTGTCTCTTCACCTTAAAATTAAACCTGTCCCATCATTCTGTTATGATGATGACATAGGCAGGAGTTGCTGTATCATAGTGGAGAAGAGGTTTGAGAGCTCTTTGCTGTGACAGGAGTTTCTTTGTAACTGAACACAGGCATTGTCTTACCTATTTTACCTTGTGCAACAATTTGCAAGACAGTGAGTCAAATGTTGGGATGGGGTGTCTTGCCCTGAAAACCCAACCCAGTAAGACATCACTTTGCTGAGTCCTTTGCTCTGTTAGAGGGCGATAAAGAGGCTATGATATTATTACCTGCCCCAGCTCCTGGGATGCTGCTGGTAAAAATTTTCTTGAATTAAGGAACTTTCCTTTTGAAACACACAGGTGCATGGTCAACTGGGTCCCACGCTGCCCACTGCAAGTTAATTGATTTTCTTTTTGCTTTAATGGTTATAACTTTTCCTACTGAGATCTGCTTTTAGGAGAGGGAATGGTTGCATACATTTTTACAATGTATGCAGCCAGCACTTTTTTAATCTGTTGTAGAGAATCACAATTGCAGAAGGAAGGAGATGTGCAGAGAGTTCCTCGGATTTGTCACCATGAAAAACTGGAAAGAGACCAGATGTATCCATTAGTGGAGAAACAGGTAAAAACTGTAAGATAGCCATTCTGTGGAATACTACATATTCACTAAAAAGTGTAAGCTAAATCTGTATTGTTTATGAGGCTAGGTCTCTGTGATACAATGTTGAATGGGAAAAGTCAGATGGTACAACATGCATAGGAGAACATCTTTTGTGTAACAATACATGGCAAAGTCATCCACAAAACAATACTCCGTGTGTACATATCTGTGCATAAAGTCAGAGAAAGAGGCCACAATGCATATTATGCTTGCACACACGTGTGCAAAAAAAAAGGTAACAGAAGATCCACCCAGACACCCAGATTAAAGGGGATAATGTTGAGAGAAGGGGGTCTTAGCTTTATCTCTGGGATTTTGAAGTTTTACTTAAAAGAAGACTGTGACTTACACATCATTTATATAATTTAACATTAGTTTGGAAGGGAATGGCAGTGGGAATGTGACTGAGAGAGTGGTAAGCTGTACTGTTGCCCAGAAATACCTTCCTCCCCCACAGGGGGACCATCTGGCTTGGCCATTTGACTTATTCTGGTGGATGAAGCTGAATGGATGTGATGAGCAGACATGGAGTGGGGTGGCAGGCAGGATGCAGTTCACCACGCGCCTTCTCCCCCTACCATGAGATGGGAGGCGTCTCAAGAGCAGCTCCTTAGTGACCTAGGACCCGGAGGAGCAAACATGCAGCAGTGAGCGGTTTGATGCGGTATAGGAGAGGCCGTTGCTGGGGTGTTTGTCACTGCAGCAGAGCCTGGCTTGGGCTAGCTGCCACCTACCCAAGCATAACAGGAGAGAACAGCAGTGAGCAGGAGGAGAAGGGATCTGGTTTGGGGTCATAAAGGCAAGGAGATCCTGGGGTGCTGATAAGGAGTACCCCAAGAAGCACACTGAAAGGGAAGTGGGGTGAAGAGTGGCAGAGACTGATTTTTGCCCATGTTACCACTTTGCCTTTACTGTGACTTGGTCTCACTTGTCTGTTGGCCTAGGGGTACAGTTCATTGTCCCTATCAGATGGGGCTCGCCTTGTACATGGCAGGTCTTTGCAGGGAGGCTCTGGGAATTCACCGAGAAAACACTCTAGGCATGTCTGGGCTTAAAAGTGAGTGGGTGTGTCATCTTCCAAGAGCGGCTGTGTCATCTCTCAGCTGTGCATTCCCCAGGGGGCCCACAGTTACCAAAACCAAGTCTTTCAGATGTCCTGAAATCAAAAGAAACTAGAGGGGAAAGGACTTGACTCTCCCAGCCCCTTGGGTTGACACCCCATGAGATGGAAAACTCCCAGTACAGTCCCTGTGGTGCCACTGTCTTTCCCTTTAACCCAAGTGATGGGAAGACAGTAGCTACTGTGCTGGGCTAGTGGGACACAGACTGTGGTAGAAAGTGTGGGGGGTGGTAGCTGGAGGTGAGAACTGAGCCACCGCAATCCCCCCCCCCCACATACAACCATCTCCAGGGATATGCCATTCAACCAGCTGGTGTGAGCCTCACTGGAAGGAGACATGAACTGGGGATTGTTATCTGTCTTTCTGGGCCTCAGTTTCCCCATGTGCAACAGGATTTAAGAATATCCATCTTGTAGAATTCATGTGAGGAACACAGCAGGTGGCAAATTTGAACAAAACCTGTGGCTGCCCTGCCTGGATGTTCCTTTGTATTCCCTGGACCTCTTGAATAGGTTGCAAGAAAGGTTGAGATGAAATAGGAAAGGAGAGAAATGGGTAAAATTGTGCCTGTGGGATTCCATAGATGGACTGAGGTGATTGTGCTGAGTGAAATAAGACAGAAGACAAAAGGCAGTGGTGGAATGGTTTCTCTGTTTATGGATTATATAAAAAAGAAAACGAACTGACAAAGCACCAAGCAAACCCTTAGACTTGGAACATGTGATGGAGACAAGCCTGCTTTGCACTGTCTGCAGGAGATTGGATTGCTACCTAGAACAGCTGCTGGTCACCCAGGAGCAGCCTCAGAAGACTGCACTGGCTGCCTCACGACTGGGTCATCCGTTGAAAGGATTTTTTTCCTTAGGGGACAGTTGGTCAACTTGCTGACAGTCCTTGGCCTCTTGCTCTTCCTGGTTCCTTGACTGAGGCGGACTCAGCTCCTTTCTGTAGCAGACTGAGTACTGATGTTCATCCACCCTCCTATTACCACCCGTTTAGGGAAAGGTTTGTTGCTCCTAGCACTGTCCAAGCTCCATGAAGGGCATGCCCAGAGCCAGGAGTGGCATGAACAGACAGAATTCTCCACCAGGGGGCCTGGCAGTCTTGCATGCTCATACACTCTCCTGACCACTGAGAGTCCTGGCCTCAGTTGGTCCAAAATGAACAAAGTAGGAGACCACATAACCACCACCACCACCACCACCATCTCCTGCTGTTCTCCCTCACATCAGAAAAGTTCACATGGTGTTCTAGACTCCGCAGCAAGCAGTAGGCAAAACTGACACCCTCCTGAGAGCACAGCATCACCCACGACCACACCAGAGAGCACATGCTAACCTGGGGAGAACCCGCCAGATGCAGGTTCTCACCAGCTTTCTCAGCGCCAAGGGGGCAGGTTACAAGTCATTTATGAAGCGGACCGTGGCATCCAGAATCTTCCAGGCACAGGGGAAGCTGAAGAAGGGCATGTCCAGGAAGGACAGCGCCCCGTGGAAGCCGTCGTCCAAGTGGTGCCAGGTCACCGGGACACCAAGGTCCTCCAGCCTCTTCTTGTACAGCAGCGAGTGGTCCCGGAGAAGGTCGTGCTCACAGCTGACAATGCAGGTTTCCGGGAGCCGCGACACCACGTCATCAGAGGCGATCAGGGGCGAGACCATCTCATCCAGAGCCAGGAGGCACTCCTGGTAGGCATCCTCATTCAGGGGCCCAGGGGTCTTCGGCTGGTACCCCCTCTGCTTAAACCTCTCAGGGATGTTGTCTGGGCCCAGCCACTTCTGATACTTTGCCCACACTGCAGGGGGCAAGTGCGCATTTTGCAGGATGATGCTCTTCCAGGCGAGGTTGATGCTCAGGTAGCTGCTCCAACAGAGGAAAGCGAAGTCCAGGCTGAGCAACGGGACGTTCTTGTTCTGCTGATACGACGGGCACTGGAAATCAATACCTTGGAGACCAGGGTAGACAAGGACCTGGGCGCGGATCTTCGGTAGATCTGGATAGTCCAAGAGGTTTTGACACACTATAGTTGCTATCGCTCCTCCCAAGCTGTCACCATAAACCACAACGCAGGCTGGATCCACCCCGTACAGCTTCAGGGACCTCAGGAAGTGGATGGTGGCGCAGATGGAATCTCTCACCAGCACCGGAAACCTACCTTG